CCTGACTTTAGCTAAGTAGGCATCATTGTATTTCCCTCTCTTTACTTACCACAGGGAAGCTGACATTCATTCCAGCTGGAATCTTAATTCCTTGAATTTCAATTTCTTTATCGCAAATCCTATCCAGAATGAATCCTGGTGGGTACAACCTCATCGCTTCATTAATACACATTTCTATGTAGGGCAGAGATTGGACAGAGTCATAATCTGGAAATTTCCCTTCAAGCACTTTGTCCACTTCCTCCTGTGCTTTTTCTAGACACTCAGGGTTCATGCAGATCAGGAACATGGTGAAGGACAGCACAGTAGCAACGGTATCATAACCAGCTAGGAGGAAGATTAAGGCCTGGCCCTGCAATAATTCAGCAAATTGATGTCGGGTAAGGAACAACAGTTGAGTAAAATCAAACAAATAAGTACCAGTAGTTTAACTGATGTATGGTAGGTCCCTTTTGCATTAGGAGACTTGTCATCAAAAGTTTCTAAAAATTTCTCTATACTGTAAAAAGCATACACATCTAAATTGAAATTCTTCCCACAGCCCCATTAACATAGGAAATGCACAAGCTGGCAGATAATATGGTTAAATAAATGGCATGCACTTGCCACTCAAGTGAATAATAAAAAAGAAAGCTATCCTTTTTTTTTCTTTTTTTTTTTTGGTAAGTATTTTTACGGCGCTCGCAACTGCATAAGGTCATATGAGCCCACGGGACACACCTAATATTTTCAGTTGGTAGGAAATTTTGAATTTTGCCCGGGTGGCGGCCGAAGCCTACTCTAATCGATTTTAGACCACCAAGGGATCTTTAACGTGAGCAACTTGCACACGGGCCCTCCGAGATTTTTCACCCTTGTCCGAGAAGGCTAGGTGTAGATCTTTCCTACCAGAAGATCAGGGGTGTGGCAGAACGACAGCAGTAAGGAGGAGCCAAGGAGTAGCAGTGGAAAGGCTGCAGAAAGAGTCAGGAGCCCAGAGGAGGGGGCAAAGGAGGTGAGGGGGTGGGGGCAGAAATTGTGGAACGAAAGCAGACAACAGAACATTGCTAGAGAGCAGGAAAGGAGATAATTTTAGAGAAGAAAATTTTTCGGTCGCTACCCGGATTCGAACCTGGGACCTTTGAATGAGAGGCCAACACCTTAACCTCTAGGCCACGAGAGCCCCCAGAAAAAAAAACTCCTTGAATTTCACTATTTGTATTCTGCCCCTCGACCTTAAATCTCATGTAGCAGCTCATAAATTTCTTCTACTTCTTGGGCCAGCATCGTTCTCAACAACATTGAAGTTAAAATATGGCAGAGGTACATTGCTTCATCAGAACTATGAGTCACTGCAATATTGTCCACACATAAACCAATTCTTTTATTGGCCACATGAACATAAATAAAAAGAAAGAAAAACAGTATTTAATTCTCTCACCTGAATATCTGAATAGCTCAAAACTTTTTTTGTTTCTGTCTTGTGCCCATTTTCCTGTTCCTCATTTACTGCGTGATTTCCATGTTCAGTATGGTCTTCGTGCTCTGCATCCAACATTATTTGTATGAAGTCGCTACGTCCAGAACCTCCACTTTTTTCATGTTTCCTGCTCTCCAAAGCTTGGTCAATAAAGCGAGTAAAGAAGTTTGTGGCATCTTTTGGCAACAAGGTTATACCTAGGAATTTAAAAACTGGTCTCATGAAATTCAGAAACATAGCCAAAAAAATAAAACGCCCAGTGCCCCCCATAAGAATGTTTCCAGCCTTGGTAAATTCACTCTCTCCTTCCTTGACAGAGTTCATCTCGACACCAAAACCTGTGCTGGCAATCACATCCATTGTATAAGCTGACAACAGACCTCTCAGTTCCACTGGTTCATTTCTTTCATGCTTCTCCTTAAGATGCTCCAGCAAGAGTTGGGTATTGCGTACAATGTGTGGGTACATCTTGCGAAGTTTGGTCGTGCTAAAGCTGGGGCTTACTGTGGCTCTGACAGTTTTCCAGTGATCATCTGGGAAATTCAAGATTAAAGTGAAGGTGCTTTCTTAATACAAATTAATGTAGTTTGCAAGGGGGGGGGGGTGGTTATAAATAATATGAGTTTCTGCCAATCAGACATTTTTAAATGCCATTATCTATAATGGGCTTATTTTCAAACAGATATCTAATTGTTTGAGTCATGTTTAAATTACACAAGAGCTGAAAGGAAAGTGGGACAAGTAATGTAACATTAATCGTGGCTTGAGCCCTCTGCAAGCTCAGTTGGCATTATGCTGGAAGTTTAAGAATTCTTAGCATTGTGTGTCTGGACTTAGTTTCGCTTAATATTTCAATGGCTCTCTATCCGTTTTGTTCATTCCTTTTGGAGGTGGGAATTGAATCAGAGGTACCACATTATCTCTATAACCTTACAGTGTTGAAAAGAACATTAAACCTATACAATACCATAACTACTTCACAATAAACTAGCAATTGATTTTGTGTTTATGAACAAAACATCCGAAGTGAAAAGTGCATGTCTCTGTATGTTTAAGAATGTGTTTGCAAGTCCCTTCATAATATGGTCGATTTTAAGGACAAGCGGGCCAACTCAGATTTTGGAAGTTTCCAGAAATCTTGACCTACACCAACAGTGGGCTTGCCCTGCCTATAGGAGGAGTTTGGTTTCATTGGTGTGTATATTTGTTTGGTTAAAGAGAAAACTCTCCTTGTCTTTTTAAGAAACTTAACAAGGGGCAAAAACTTTACCTTCGATTTTCTCAAAACAGCTTTTTTCGGGATAGCCCCCTTGTGCTTAAAAGTGACCATATTACAAGTGTTTATAGATCTAGATGTTTCTGATCTATGTGTTTATGTGTGTGGGTGGGTGGATATGTGCTTATGTGTTGAGTGTGGTGAGTGGATGTGTGCCTCTATAATAAGGGAATTAGCATGTTCAGGAGTAATTGTTTTTAATGTTCTTCATTCTTTTATAATAAAACAACAATATATTAGACAAAAATCACCACAATAAAAATTCTTCAATTGAATGTATCATAGAATTTTCTCTCCCCTTTAAATTATTACTTAGTGTGAGTTTCTTAACACAAGTATTGCATGATGCAGCATTTCACTCAACATTTCCTTGATAAACGAAATTCTTGGTTATTTATTCATTTTCCATACCTTTGATTTCTGTGAGTGAAGCACCCAATGGGAGTTCTAGGTCAAAGGTTTGTCGATTGACGAAATTGTTGAAGTGCTTAACACAGATGTCCCTTACCATATCGATGTCACAGATTATCAGGGCAGGCATTTTTGCCCGGAACAACCCATACACCTGAAAACACAAGGGACATGTTTAAAAATGTCTCACTCTCTCTCGCTCTCTCGCTCTTTTGCTCTCTCTCTCTCACTCTCTCTCTCTCTCTCTCTCTCTCTCTCTCTCTCTCTCGCTCTCTCTCTCTCACTCTCTCTCTCTCTCGCTCTCTCTCTCTCTCTCACTCTCTCTCTCTCGCTCTCTCTCTCTCTCACTCTCTCTCTCTATCTCTCTCTCTCTCTCACTCTCTCTCTCTCTCTCTCTCTCTCTCTCTCTCTCTCTCTCTCTCTCTCTCTCTCTCTCTCTCTCTCTCTCTCTCCTCTCACATTTCAGCTTTTTTTTTTTATTTAAGAAACAACACTAACAATACTATTGTTTGATAAACTGGAGATATTCTCAAAAGATGAGAATGACTGGAGTGCTTCATTTCAGTATAGACCAGGCAATACTATGTAAGGTGTTGAGACATCATGAAATCCCACAAAAGTTCGTGAGCCTTATCAAAAGCAAGTAGGAAGGAGCAAGTTGCAGGGTTGTACATGATGGCCAACTCACCCACAGCTTTGACATCAAGACTGGTGTGAGACAGAGATGTTTACTATCACCTTTCCCCTTTCCTCTTCATCATGTCGATCAATTGGCTGATGAAGAAAATCCCCAGAGAACACAGAAATGGCATACAGTGGACCCCATGGACACAGTTGGACAATCTGGATTTTGCAGAAAACTTGGTGATTCAGTCACACACCCAGGAACAGATGTAAGCAAAGATTTCAATTTTAAACAGCCTATCATAGTCTGTTGGATTGATGATGTACCCTGGAAAGTCAGGTCCTAAGGATAGATGTACAATGAAAAAAGCAGGTCACAATAGAAGGAAATGCACTAGAAGACGTCGAATCCCTCCACTATCTCGGGAGTATAATTGACAGAGAGGGAGGAACAAGTGTTGAAACAAAGTCCCACATCAGTTAGGCACAGACTGCTTTCATTTCTTTGAATAGGATTTGGAGGACCAGGGACATCTCACCTCAAAAAAAGCCGAGGATTTTCAACTCAAATGTGAAGTTGGTTTTGTTGTATGCGTGTGAGACACAGAACGCATCTCAGACTTGCATTGAGAGGATCCAGGTTTTCTTGAACAAGTGTCTAAGGAAGTTACTGAGGATCAGTTGGTCAGACAGGGTCCCCAACAAGGAAGCGTTAAGAAGAACAAAATAGAGCCCAGTCAGAGATGAGGTGGGAAGAAGACAGTGGAGATGGATTGGACATACTCTCAGGAAGTCAGGCTGCTGCATAACAAGGAAAGTGTTGGATCTGAATCCACAGGGTAAAAGAGTAAGTGGAAGACCATGTGGAACCTGCAGAAGAGTCACAGAAATTGATGTACAGGAAAGTGGGAAGATATGGAAGACATCGAATAACATCAAGACGTTAGCCCAGGATAGGGAAAGGTGGAAAGAGTGTTTGTGGCCTATACCCTGATCCAGGGTGAGAAAGGCAATGACGATGCTTCATTTCCTCCACCTCTGACAAACATTACAATGCATGCTCCTCTTAACACAAGCACACACACACACACACACACACACACACACACACACACACACACACACACACACACACACACACACACACATACATACATACATACATACATATATACATATATATATATATATGTATACACAAACATGCACACACAAGTCAAGTAGTCCTACCTTGTTTTTCTTGTACTTTTTGTACATCTTGACGTGGAAATCAAACAGCCCTGCTCCGCCCATCTCTTGCATCATGTTGCCCACAACAGGCCAAGGGGTGGGGCCAGGCAGTCCCAGCTTCCTGAATAAGCCATGGTCTTTGGACATGTACCACACATACAGAAGTAGGGAGGCGACACAACACAGCAGAAAAATTGTCAGGATGGACAGTTCCATTTTGGCGGCTTGGAAGTCAGAAACTGGACGAACGTAGATGACACCCTCTTTACTGAAGATAACCCACGGTCTCTGAGGACTGCTGACAAAAAGCATAGTTCCCAAGTTAGTATACATGAACAACCGCTATCTTTGAAGACTGATTTTACATTTATAGGCATATATGTATACATTTATAGCCTGTTAATTTTATCAGTACAATTATATCCTGCATGTACAAAACAATGTGTGTGTTTATGTGTGTGTGTTTGAGTATGTGTGTGTGAGTGTGTGTGAGTGTTTGTGAGTGTTTGTGCATGTGTGTGTGTGTGTGTGTGTGTGTGAGAGAGAGAGAGAGAGAGAGAGAGAGAGAGAGTGTGTGCGTGTGTGTGTGAGTGTTTGTGAGTGTTTGTGCATGTGTGTGTGTGTGTGAGAGAGAGAGAGAGAGAGAGAGAGAGAGAGAGAGCGTGTGTGTGTGTGTGTGTGTGTGTGTGTGTGTGTGTGTGTGTGTGTGTGTGTCTGTGTGTGTGTGATGACTCAGACTGAAATGTGTTAGTCAGGGAGCAGTCACTAATTATCTCTCATCAGAACTGTAGCTTCATGTATAGATATCTACATGATGTTCCTCCACTCATTTTTTTTTAAGATACCCTACAAACAAGCTGATACCATTTGCAAACCCCAGGGTAACAAGTATGATAAATACAGTATAATATAAAATACCAGTGTAAAAAACATTATAAGCAAATAAATATTGCTACAGCGTGTCCAAGGCTGGCTTCAAAGAAAAAAATGTAAACTAATGCCACCATCAACGTAACACACTATGGGTGGCTTGCACCCACGACGTTTTAGAGTGCTTCCAAAATCAGAATCTTTAATAAAATATCACGTCAAACACGACCGTCCGCCCTACGATGCATCGATACTCTCACTTCCAGACTCACGCACGAGATCAAACCAATAGCGATTTACAAATCACAACGGTGCATTCAAACAACAACAACAACAACAACAACAACAACAACAACAACGTGACTCAGTTCTGAAAACCAAGAAAGATGTGGGGTGCGACCCCCAATTGTAATGTTTGTATCCTGAACCCGTCCAGCGCGTCGAAGATCGAGATTCAGAACGGATTTTACCACATACACTTAAGCTCCTATGAAGGGACGGAGTATTTGGACGTTATAATATTATTATTATGGAATATTCTGTGCTTGAAAGAACGTGAATCGTAGACTCTAACAGAACGAAAGGCTGAGAACTGAGAAATGGGAATCAAAGGTGGACACGGTCTCTCTGTGAACAGACTTAGCATGGAGAGGATTGCTGTCCTCATTCTTGTAGATCAATATTAACGTGAAGGCTTGGAAGGTGGGGGCCGCCAAGGACATCGATGTTGTGCTAGCATGTTATACAAGAGGAGTTTCCAGTGATGAGCAATATTGGATCTCTCTC